GGTCAGGTGAGATGTCAAATGTGTTTTTTTGTTGGTGGTGGAGGGAGCCAATACACAGGCATGATTACTGCATGAGGAAAGTTTGTACATTTCTTGATACTGGCTGAGGAATTCAGTAAAGGAAAGTGGTGGTGAATCTGTGGACTATCCAGTATAAATTTATATCTATTGTTTTTACTCTTAAGTGAAATATGACTCTTGTTTGCTTATATGGTGTGGTAACATACACATGTGCATGATAATTATATATATATATATATATTTCTTTAAAAAATTATCACCACCTCTATAAAAGGTTGTGTGGTGTTTCTGATGTAGTTTGATTTAAATTCTATTATTAAACTTACATTGCTAATGTCTTGTAGTAATACACCACATGATTGTATTTAACAGCCATTAGAGAGACTTGATATTACATACTTCCCGTGTGCAGGATCATGCAGGCATTGGTTAGGGTAAGGGCAATTGATGACTAAAAGTTAGCATTGCATGGTATCATTTCTTCACATCTGTTCTGCAGATGCCAAAGCACTTTTTCTCCTATTTTTTGGTATGTAGCCGTTACATTTTGCTCTTTCTGATTCAGATATCTCTAGGGATGGAATGCAAATGATATCCCAAGATATACTTTCTTCTTGATTGATTACTAATTATTTAAACCTGATTTTTTTGATTGCATGCTGACCTAATTATTTTGTTGTTACTGATTTTTTGTTTATGTTTTTACTTTACTCCGGAGGGAAGGAGACTTTTAAGTTCGTTTTATTTGTGTTCTTTATTTGAATTGTGTTCTTTATTTGAATAGTCATTTTTTAGTTTTGATTTTGTATTTTTTTTTTTTTTCTTTTGTTGGCATGAATTTACTCCACTGGAGCCACTTATTATATGATTTGATCTCTTTTATTAAGACTGTATGATCATAGCCTTTGTTTTGTTTATATCTTATATTAGTAAACGCTAGCGTTTAAATCATCATTCACTCAAGCAGTTAGAAGTCTGTCCTGAGGTTGCCCAGTCCCGTTCCCTCCACCGCGGAATGGGCAAGGCCTTTATTTTCCTCTCTCTCGCACGGTGCAGGACCTGTCGGGGTGGCTGCTGCTGCTGCCATTGCCTCAGCAAAAAAGCGGAAACGACATCACATATTTGAAATTAATCCATCTATACGAAAAAGACAACAAACTCGGCTTTTAAGAAAATTGAAGGTGAGTTCTTATAAACTGTAGGTGGCCTTTGGGAATATTTTTTTATGCTCTCTCTCCCTGTCACCCTTCACTTCAGTACTTACCCTCTCCCCCTCTCTGATGCTCTCTCCCCCCCTCTGTGGGGCTCTCCCTCCCACTTTGGTACTCCTTCTGTCCCTTCCCCGTAGAGCTCTCATCTGTCAGTTGGATGAAAGAGATTGAAAGCGAATTAGGGTTTGAAAAACAGATGCTTGTTGAATTTACACTTACAAAGATCCAAAATTGTTGGGTGTCTCAGAAAATAAAAACCACATCATCAGAGCTTATGATGTCAAGATGCGTAAAAAATTAGATTGATACTGAATTGAGAAGCCAGGTCTTTTGGGATGAGTTCAGATTCTGTTAGGAAAGAAGAAATGTTTCTTTAAAGTGAAAAGCAGGTAACTGATGTAGCTCCGTTGATGTCACCATATACATGAGTTTTGTTTGAAACATTTTGATATTACAAAAGATCCAAGATTGGTTCTGTATTAGTGGCAGAAGATATCCTGCAGATTAGTTTTGTGTTTGCAGAGTTAGGAATCAACCACTGAATAGATATTAAAGTAAAGGTTGGAAGTGATCAGTGGAGACAAATGAAGTGATTGAAATGGGGCAAATGGAAGTATGGTGTCTCTATCTGTCAGTCTATCTAGATCTCAGAATATTTGTCCGTATATATGTATTTGAATATAAGCATAAGTGTAAATGTACACACAAGTTTTGAATTAAACTAGTTTGTATGTGCTTGCTGAACTTGAAATTGGAATACAGTGTTATTATACATTTTATCCATAAAGTAGAAACAAACCAACTAGAAAACACAAAGTTTTTAAAACTGCTACAGTAGCCTCTATAGCCTCTTGTCTTGTTGGCTTCATTCTAGCAGAGGAATATATCATTCCAGTATAATCTACCTCAGTACACTAATGATTGATGGTTTCTGTACACTTGAATTTACTTTAAGTGGTTTTTAATCTCTTGCACAAGTGTCTGAGTGAAAGAAACTAAATGTGATATTAGTTCAAGCTTCAAGGGCATGTTTAGTAATAACACGTTTTTTCACATAGTTTGTTCTACAAAATAATTTTTATTGAAATCACTACTTTTGGAAGTCATGGTTTTAGATATCACATGTATTTATTGGATATTTGTAATTGAATCTTGGAAAATTGGTGTGGGTGTGGGTATTGGGGTGTGATTGAGTGCATGAGTGTTTAGTTGATGTACATGTTGGTGTGTGTTGACTTTTAAATGTTTGCTTTTGCGTATGAAAGAAAGCCTGTGTATTAGTGATGGAGTAAAGCACTTGTATTGATATGAATCATTGAGGATTGCTGTTTTCCTATTTCTTTCCAGAATAGAGCCAGTGAACACAATACACACAAGCTTATTATAGCAGGTGCTCAGAAATATGGTGCCTAAATTACAGAGGGTTAGAAACTAATCTTTTAGCTCATCTAGAAACGAGATGAACTAAACGACTTGCCTTTTAAGGATCTAAGAGGATTGACAAGCTAGATCTACTGACAGGACCATTACACACAGAAATGTATTTGTTTCTTCTCAGGCTAATACCTCTTGAAGACTGTGAAAACTTTACTTTTATTGAACTTTTAACCCAACAGGCAACCATAGATGAATATTCTACCAGAGTCGGACAGCAAGCGGTGGTAGTTGTAGCAACGCCAAGTAAATCAGGAAATAATTTCAAATGTTTTGGAGCGAAACCTCTGGAAGATGTGGTAAGTCTCTTTCTAAAAGCAATACTTGTTCATTAGTTTATTATAACACGTTTTAAAACATATAATGTGCATATTGTGCATTTGCCTGAAATTTTTGTTTACAAATTTAGGATTTCCAAGATATCTAAGGTCTGCATTGTGGATGAAATTCTAACAACTTCATGAGAAGAACAAATGAATTATAAAGAAACAAAAAATAGTGTATTTCACCATAGGGGAATTATGAGTTTCCTTCCTTGTTTCATGCTGACGCACTGCACTGATTTACGTATTTTGCACACCAAAATATTTTTTGAAATTTGTTTCCCACTTATACAAGATACCAAATTTAAGTGTTAGACAGTCTGTTTTTTGCTTCTGAACCTCATGTTTGGCAGAACCAGCTGACATGCATTGTAATGGTACTTTATTCCTGAAATGAAGATGCTCTATTTGAGTGTATTTGCATTCATGTGCTGTGAAACATTATTCTGATATTTGCATGCAAGATAGTATAATTTCTATATTGGAAATGGCAATTATATCATAACACAACAGAGTAGTTCAGAATAACCAAGAAAAGAAGACAGTATTGCTCACTACGGCCGTTTCAATTTCCCCCACAGATGAAAACGTTGCGGCAGATGGTTATGTCCGAACTGGAAAATGCGTTAGCACAGCAAGCACCCCCACCCCCACAGGACGACCCGTCGTTGCATGAATTACCTCCCCTTGTCATAGACGGCATTCCGACTCCTGTAGAAAAGATGACGCAAGCACAACTCAGAGCTTTTATTCCTTTAATGCTGAAGTATTCTACAGGTAAGAGGTTTCATGATTCCTCTTTAGTGAGGCTAAGTCTAGCTTCTTAAGGATTTAGGTTTTTATAGAAAAGCTAGTAAAAGGACTTTTTATGTATAGATATAGATATGAAGGAGAAGGAGTATCTTTCACAGTGCAAGAGATGTCCTTAACATGTTGGATTATATTGTCATCAGAAGCACATGAATGGTAACTATTTCTCAATAAAACAAAGATCCAGCAATTCAAAACGTTCTGTAGGCAGACCAGTGATATTGAAAAAGTATTCTCAATCAGGTGATTATGAATTTTTGTTTTCTGGTCATAGTGTATGTGTGGGTATAGGTGTAGGTTTATTTATGGGTGTGGCTGTAGATGTATAGTCTATTCAGTCTTGTTGTTTAGGAAGCCCTGTCATTTTCTTAGTGCTATAGACAGAAAATGTGTTTTGTTTTGCATGACTTCATTTGATGTTTGACCTACAAGCTGATAACCTCTCAATCACACAATCACAGATCAACTGACCAGTGACAGGAGACTGTGTGTTGTTATTGCTAGCCTTTTTTTTTTTTCCACAGAAATAGAAAATCCAGCTTTGGCTTATACTTTCTGAACACATACCTGTTTTATTGTAATCTGAGAGTGATGAGAGAAGTAATTATGAGTTGATGAACAATAAACTAGAGAAGAAAATAAACTTGAATGCTTCAGCAAATAGCAGTAACAAGAAGGATTATTACATTACAATATTTATTTTAGGGAGAGGTAAACCAGGCTGGGGCAAGGAATCTACTCGGCCGCCCTGGTGGCCAAAAGATGTTCCGTGGGCGAATGTTAGAATGGATGCGCGATCAGAGGACCAAAAACAAAAGGTAAGATTATGCTTTATTTGTATATTGCATTGTTAATGTTGGGGTTATGTGAATAATGTTCAAAGGAATTTAGAGATGTATATGTTTATTGTTGTAATTGGTTTTCACATCTATTTTTGGGTATTACATCACAATATTAGCTATCAAAATTTCATAATAGTACAGTATGATTTTAAGAGTTGGAATGTAAAGAAAAACAAAAAGATGTGAGAGCAGTATCATTAGATCTTTTTAGCTCAAAGCATTTTATATCGATGATTCCCACATTCTGTAATGATGGCATATTAATTAAAATAGCTTTGAGAGGTAGAGAAATATTAGATCATGTATTGCTATATCAAGGAACTATTGGATTTGTAATATTAACCACTTCATGCTGGGTCACGTGTACGTACAAGGCATGGCAGTTGTGGACAAAGTAATGGATGGCATCAAACATGACCCTTCATGCACCATCGGCTCATCAAGCGGAGCTGGTATCGTTTGATAGTAGTGGTAAAACGAAGATAGGTTTTCAAAAATTTGATATTTTTATAAATTGTATCAAAATACAAGCTTCTAGGTGCCTAACGTTGCCCGCAAACTACAGAACGAGCAGGGTGCAAACTAGGGAAACTGTTGATGCACGCCAATAAACTTGCGATCATGTCCAGGCCAAGTTTTTTGGTTGATAGTGTGATGAATGGGAAGTGTATGAATAAGTAAATGATTGATAATGAAAAGATTAGGAACAAGCTGGGGATCCTGGAAGCTTAAGTCTTCATAATCCTATCTCCAGGTATCTTGGACGACTGCTTTACGTCAGATTGTAGTCAACTGTTATAAATACCATGGGCGAGATGATCTCTTGCCGGCATTTAATGAAGAGGAAGAAAAGACTCAGGTATGATGAACAATTTTGCTCTTTACATTGTCAGTTATGTCAGGATCAAAATGTTTTCTTTGCTTTTGCCTTACAATGGTCATTTTTACAGAAGTTGCTGTTGTTTAACTCCTTGTTCTTGTTCAAACATTAGAGGAAATAGTCATTCCATTTATTAATAGTGTGCATTTAACTCATGATTGCTTACTACTTTTTAGTTAAATACAAGCAATTAGCCATACAGGTTTCAAAATGTATAGAGACTATTTTTGGGTTTCCATGTATGTAATAACTGTGCAAAAAAAAATTAGTGACTGGACAGATGAATAATATAGTATTGACACTTGCCTGTCTTTTCAAATGCGTAGTGATTTGTTCATAAAATATTTGTCTTGGTGCAGGTTGGTGGTCCAGTGAACCCAGTGTATTCAGGTCCAGTGGTACAGACCATTAGCAATCCAGATGGTACAGTTTCAATCATCCAGGTGGATCCTAGTAACCCTGTCATCCAGCTGCCAGATGGAACCACTGCGCATGTACAAGGCGTTGCCCACGTAAGTGTGTTTCTTTGTCTCTTAGTGGATTTTATAACACTACGGATACATATCTGAAGATTGTGTGATAGTTGCAGCTTTGCAAATTTGATATTTAAGGGGTGTGTGCTGCAGAATATTAGTTTATCAAAACTGGTATATTTCCCTGTGAAATATTTTTTCATTTGTGAAAAGTATCCCCCCATAATATAATATTCACTATCTTGTATTTTTTATATTTTTAAGGTTAATGAGATTTGTACTTGTTTTAGATAATTATGCTACTTTTTAAAGTATGTATTAAAAGTACAGAAATAATTCAGATATGTATCTGAAGATACTTATTTGTTATATATCATTAAACATGTTTACATTGAAAGTCTGTGGTCTGATGTACTTATTGAAGTAATGTTTTTATTAAGATTACCAGAATATTGACTCTCACAAGCTTCAAGAAGCCTCACTTCTGATAATATGATGATATTAGTATATTAAAGTAATTACGAAATATAATACTCAGTATTTATGATTATTTTTTAAAGTGTTTCTCTAAATTATATTACTGTTGTCACTATCCAGTTCCATTGATTGTTATGCAGTTATGTTTTTGCCTTACACCTAACAAGCACCATTTCCTATCCTGCAAAGAGAATGTGATTGTATGGACTAAACTAAATATGTGAAAAATGTTATTCAGCTTTAGACTTTAAAAAAAGTCTTTAAAATGCACATGATGAATGCTTTTGATGAAATTACGGAGAAGCTATATCAGTATTCAAAAAGTAAACACTTCTTTGTAAATGATATTGTGATATTGGTTTTTATCCATTTCGTGTCCAGTGCTGGTGTCATTTGTCCAATTACTTACTGATATGAAAGTTATGAATTTTCCATCATGTGACTGGAGACAGTAGCATGGTCCATATTGTGATTATATATTTAAGATATTGCAGTGCATTACCTAAAAGCAACAGGGCACAGATTTTATAATTTACAAATGAAAAGTGTTTATTTAAGAAGACTATTGTAGTTGCTGATCAAGGGACTCATCACTAAGATTATTAATTGCCTGTAGATTTTATCTCCTCTTGAAGCAGCCCTTCTTGAGAATTAGAGTTTGGTGGGACCTAATTTTTCAAATTTGCAGTAGCCATATTGTTGCTTTATCAGATTTTTTAAGATAAAAAGAGCAAACCATGTCCAGAACGGATATGAGTTGGAAATCTGAAGTCTAAGTGATGATTCCCTTCTTGTAGTGCATGTTAGAGAGAACTAATGTCGTGCATGGTTGGTATTGTGTGCATGGTGTACTAACCCAGGGTTGGAGTTTTGGATTAACCTTTGGTGTCTTAAATTTTTTTCCTACACAAGTCCTGTAGTAAAGGAAAGAGATAAATTATGCTGAAAATTATTGTTTCAAGTTTGAATAGTCTTAAAAATTATTTTTTCTGCTTATTGTTAATTATTGTATATATTATCTACAAGCTGCATGTAATCTTACATGAAATGATTTAACACAGCACAAAACATAACTTTTTGTAGTCCAGCCTAACCTGTCATTGCTGGATTTTTGATATGTAAATGTGCCGCATTATTCTTTAAGAGTTTCTTTTTCTTTAACCCATTGGTGCTCAGTACATGCAGTGTCCACGGTTTTCAATTTTGTCTATACAAAGATGGCCTCACAGTTGCATAATCATCAAGCAGTCAGTTACAAGGCCTAACTGACGTCTCTTGTTTACCTCATTTCATGAATTTTTAGGAGTTTTGATGCAACTATTATTGTGAATATTATTATTTTATGTTATTATTGCAATGTTATTAACAAAACTAATAACAATAAAGATAAAACTGAACATTTTGGGAATAAGGAAGGGAGATCAGATAGGCTTTATAAATGATTGTTTGGTGACTAAGCACTCGTGGAGGCATGTAAATATAAAGAAAAATTGATAAAGTAAAATCACAGTGGACAGGGTATGTATACAGATCCTCTAAGCATCAGTGAATTAAATGTTCTATCTTTCTCTCTAGTGTGTAGATTACAAACCCCACTATCTGATTTAAAAGAGGTACTAGCTTTAATGAGACAGATAACAAATATAACATGTCTTGAGCATCTGCATGTTGTGTGTGTTTGCATGTGCTATACACCCTGTGCAAATAATTGAGCCCCTTGCCACCAGTGTCTTCCTTATGACGTGAATCTTGTTTCACTAAATGAAAAGGAATCAATTAAGTTTACATTTAATTACAATGGCTCACTTGTTCAGTGCTGCATTTACACCGTCTTGTGGTCTGTTACATATATAATTTGAAGTATTTTGATCTGGCGTTCTAAATATACGTTCCTTTTAGGATAAATGTATGGTAAATGATGTGAATGTCATGAAAACGCACAACGTATAATTTTTTAACAAGATGACAATGTCAGGTGTGCAAAATTCTTGGCAAATTGTCTTGTACCTAAAATTTGTGAATTAATTTTACTGGGGTAGCTAAGGTATTAACGGCAGTATGTCATATGAGGGATGAAGAAACAGCTCAACTAGCAGATGGCTTTGTAGAACAATGAGTCTGGGTTTAGCTTCTTTTTGACCCCCTTCTTAAAGTTCCTTGTCATCTCAGACTTTCTTTGGCTTGTCCAGTGAGCTACGGGGAGCAGGTGCATTATCAGAGATACTGCTAGCTGTAAGCCCCTGGATCCGGATGACGTTGCGATCATGTCAAGGAAAAACTTGGACAGCTATACGGATGACGTGAATAAAGCGTCAAGAGCGAAGGCCAGGGTGACTGAAATGACTTGCCACGAGTGCACAAACCTCTTGGAGTGTGATTTGACTCATTTGGCGCTTAGAAGGGGGCTTTAGCATTATTCCCATCAATAAACGAATGTGGAATGTAACGTGCGTAAGCAGTGACTGGAGGAGCGCTGGCTCCAGGAAGGATGCCATTTCCATGCTGCAGGCTGTATTATGTAAAATTGAAAATTACAAAAAAAAAAAAAAAAAAGAAAGAAAAAAAAAGATATATGTCACATATCCAAATGTTCCATATATATATATATATATATATATATATATATATATATATATATATAATATATATTATTTTTTTTTTTTTTTTTTTTTTTTTTTTTTTTTTTTTTTTTTTTTTTTTTTTCTTGCACTGAGCTATTTACTACATAGATAGATGAGATGATATGGAATCTGTGCAAGGAAAATAAGTAATTACCATCTGGATAAAGCAAATCAAAAGGCAAATATGGACATTGAAAAATGGCGATAAAGCTTAAAAAGTTTTCACAAAATAACTTTTCAAAGGGGAGACACAGTCTAATCACCGCTCATGGGTGTTCGGGTGCACCCGGCCTATGCTCTGCATGCCTGGGATGCTGGCCACTTACGTAACCATTGCAACCGGATCCAGGGCATTAATGCTTTATGGATGTCACTTGTTCCTTTCTTTATTTTCTTCTCTTTGTGTTTCTCAGCCATGTTTCCTAAGCTGTAATAGTTAAGAAAAAAAATAGAAAAGAGATTTGGAGCTGGAGGTGGCTTGAGTGTAGGGTGAGGTAGAGCAGTTAAGTGGTGCTCAGTAAGAGATAAGGTGAAGTGTGTGCTGCCAGATGCATGTTCTTCTCCCAACTTTGCTTGCAGCACACTTGTAGTTTCACTTTTCACAGAATTCTGTGCCTGGTGTGGTATGCTAATTTTTTGTACAGTTTATATATTTTTTTGCTTAGCATGCAATATCAGTGATGTGGCAGCTTGTTTAAAGTAGGTTGTATTTGCTTATTTATGTAACAGTAAGTCTTCTCTGAATGTCAGTAGATTCACCATTGTTCTCATTAAGCTCTAATCAGGGAGAAGTTGTAGGGAAAAGAAGTAGGATTTTTTTTGTGTGTTTTTATAAAAGGTCATAAATTGAAATGTGTAATTTATCACAAGTTTCAATGACAACTTCAGACAGAAGTGAAGTTTAGCTTTGTTTCTGCATTTTTAATGTGTATTGCATTTTTGGGGGATGATACAATACTAAAAACACGATAAAAGCATTAAGAGATGACTTACTGTCTGTAGTCTTAAAATGTGAAATGCTAACCCGCGTAGATTGCATGAATGCTCCTCCTGGGTGCTGGTGACTAACCTATCAGCTATAAAAAAGGATGAGGTTGTTGACCCTACAGATCACAACACAGAATGGAGAGTCGGTGGACGGAGAGAGTGGGAGTTCGGTGGCCATCGACCTCAACCATGTATCTGAGGGCTCCTTAGGGCAAGAGGGAACCATCATAATAACAGGAGAGGACGGCTCACAGAGTAAGTTTGTGCTCTCAGTTATGTCAGTATGCCTAAAATGTTTGGATTTTCTAATTTACCACAAAATGTGATTCATGTGATAATTAATGTTTGTTCTTATTCTTCCTCCAGTACCTGTGAATGTTTCGGGAGCATATCCTGTGTCAGGAATGATAACGGTACCCCTACCAGTATACCAGACTGTTGTAGCGAACATTCAAGGTGCAGATGGTCAGCCGCTACAAGTGGTTACACCAATCGTACAGGTGCCCAAACTTGAACCTGGATTAGACAATAATGTTGAAGTTCCTGCAGCTCTCAATGCGTCACTGGATGCATCGACTATTATATCTTCTGGACAAGGTCATGTACAGGTAGGACAGACTTTGTTCTTTGTACTGAAATGGCTGAGATTTTGTGATGATAGGGTTTGTGATTTGGCGCTGATATAATTTACTATATCATGTCCATGGTTTTCAGGATGATGACGACGATGGAAGTGTAGACATGGTCGAGACCAAAGATTGATGAGGCATAAGATCACCCGATTGTGATGGGATGAAGTAACATAGACCAATGTTACTGGCTTCAGCTGTAAGCTTAGCTTCTTCCCATACACACTTATGTCTTTCTGCCCATCTCAGCTTCTCACCAAAGACTAGGGAGTGGATTCTAGTATGTTTTCAGGAATTGCAGAATATGAGGACTTGATATATCCTCTGCTACATTGGCCAGTATCACCACAACATTTAAAACGTCTGCTGACTGATTGTTCCAAATTTACCACATCTACTATTACAGAATCTGCCCCTAGGCACAGGATGAAACCATACCAGACAGTGTCAGTCAGGTTAGAGGCCCACCGCTTGTGGTTTGTTTTTACAAGAAAATCTATTTTTGTATGAAGATAAAAAAAAAAAAAACAGTGGCATTGGATAGAGTAAAGCAAACTGTGAGATGTGCAGGGGTCGGGTTTTAAACAAGTTCTGTTTCGGTATGGGGTTTTATTCTGTCGACTCCTAGATAGTGTGTTGTCTCAAGGGATGAGTTTGGACTCTTGCTTCCCTTTTTGGATTACAGTTCAGAAATTAGGAAACGATGTAGCTTATCCTCTTATTAAGCTGTCAAAGATATGTTTACCCTTTTCTATGATTTCTGTTGTTAGTAAAGTTTATGTTGACAGAGACTTTAAGGAGTGTGACAGCTTTACTATTGAGACATTCAGCCAACTAGGATGAAAGAGGCATATTATCATTTTTTTTTATTATGATTATTTTTATTATTATTGCTGATATTAATATTAATTATGTAATCATTATTCTCATTAATCACCATTATTATCATCAATTATTTTCACCATTTTCATTATTGTCATTTGAATTGTAGTAATATTTATTATTGTTATATTATTATTTAATACTAATGATAATTTTTATTGATAATGATAATTATTAATTGTTCTTAGTAATGATTAATATTGCACGAATACTTATTATTGCAGTGTGAATTTGTAATTTTATTATACTTATGATTTATCATCACTACCAGCTGGATTGATATTGATACTTTTATTGATTGTTATTATTTTTTGATTATGCATAATTTGTTTGTTCTGTTGTCTTTTAAGTTAAGGTATTACACCCTGTGTATCAGTGCAATTAGGTCCTGAGTGTACCCTGTAATTTTAAAGTATTTATTTCTCCATTTCACCTCCCCTCTCCCTCCTCGCCCCTCCTCCCCAGTGAGGCTAATGTAGTTTGCTTTGTATTTGTCAAGTGTAATAGGAGTTGCTCAATGTTGTATAGCTTAGCAGCAGTGTATTAAAGTGGGAATGACTTTCCTCAGTGTGTGCTACAGGGAAAAATTACTGCCTGGTGAGAGTCACGAATTTTGGACCACTTTATGCAGAAGGTTTAAGAGCGGTTGATGAATGTGCTGGGAAAGTATATAGTTACTATTATTACTTTTTTCATTATTAATCATATACTTTGTTCATTTCTTTCTGAATACAGCTTGTTAAATATTTTCCCCAACAGGCAGATATCTTGGTAGAAATTACAATTTTAGAGGAAATGCTCATTGATTTTTAGATTATTATTCAGTATCAGGGGGGAGAAAAAACAAAGAATTTTGGATGAGATGAGGCCTCTTTCTCTAAATTTGGTACTGACAATAAGAGTCACTTTTGTTTTGGTGACTTTAAACCCAAGAAGAACCCTAGGATGTGACATCATTTGTATTGAAGTTACGAATGGAAAAGCATTAAGATTAAGCCCAAATTTACCCTGCTGCCTCTACTTAAAGACTGAAACTTGTCATATGTATGATGCCCTCATGAGTAAAAATTGGAGGTATCAGAGAACACATGTTAAGAGCTAATTGGTAGGTGTAATATTAGGGATAATTAAAGTTTCTGATGAGAATCATTATGGAATTATGGAACCAAATAATCATTCAAGTTGAAAAGTAATAGAAACGATGTTAACATATTAGGCTGTCTCAAAGGCACAGTTTTCTAAATTATTTTCAGCCTTGCAGATTTGAATAAAGGGAATATTTGGATTGCCGAGACAGTGGAATCAAGTTTGCTGAAAAGTTTACATTTTAGTAGAGCTACTCTTGAAGTAAAGAATTTAAGCTTTGGTTTGGGACAGAATGTTACTGTGATGTCATCAGATCTTGAACAAGCAATCATGGCTGTGATATACTAGTTTAGCACAGTACCAATTTTAGCCTCAAGGCCACCTTTGTCTTGCAGGAAAATGACACGACTTTTGCATAAGGGCATTATAAGTTTCAACTGTCAAGAACACTTTTTATTATTTTCTGAAATAATACACAGCAACTCAGAGATGTTTTAAGTTAAAAGATATTTATGCTCTTTGAAATGTGTTTGATAAAGATAAGAATTTTTTTCTTTCTTAAGGTAACCACATTTCGTATGGTTATTCAGAGGTGATCTACCAGTACATTTGTATTATGATTCCATTTGCTTAGTTCCTGCTAATTTGTAAGCTCACAGTATTATATCTATAGAGCATTTTATCTACCTTGTATTTTTGTAATGATACTTTTTATTTATTTATGATTAGCATTATTTAAGTTCTATATATTTTTAGTACCATTTTTTTTTGTTATTTATATATTTTCATGTAGAAGGTAATGCACACAGTAAAATATTATGAACATTTACAGCAGAGGAACCATGTTAAGTTGTATACGAATTGTGTAGAATTTGTTGAAGGTGAAAGATCTAGTGAGTAGCACTAGCAGTTGATAGACAAGGCTTGGTTGGAAGGACTTTTTTGTATTTGTAATAGCTTCAGAAATGTTGGAAAATTATGTATGGAAAATCGTACTTCATACTCTTTGTGATATTTTGAGGATATGCAGAAAAGAGGTTGGATGGATGATAAGAGGATACAAATTCTGTGACCAGAAAATATGGCCATTGACTTTGGTTATTTTGGGAAATTGAACCTGCCTTAGCCGTGCAGGTTTTCTTTGAAGGTCTACAAGAGATTATCAGAGTGCTGTAATTTTAGCTGTCCTTTTTAGAATGTGATTTTATGTAACGTTTTAAGTTGTGATTCTGAGCATGAAGATTGCTTTTGTGTTTAAAGAGCCTGATTGTATACAGGCTATTGCATGATACCGTACTGAACAAAAGGCAAAAAAAATTCCAAACTGGTTAGCCGTGTCCTTAAGGGGATAGTGAACAATCAACATTCTGTCAAGTTGAATGGAAGGGGAGGGGTGAAGGTGTGAATACTATGGACTTCCGAGCATGTATGTGATGATTTCAAACTAGTCGACTGTGGCACACCCAGGATAATAATAATCTCTATAGACTGGTGAAGGCTGAGACTGAATAAGCGCATTTGATGGACTTCACGAGGGTTGGTGTTGTTCCATCAAGTAAATTACTTCGGTCGTCTTTCATAGGCCTACTGATCTCTCTCCCTCTCTCAGCCATGGAATTCGGCAAACTGATTTATCTAGCAGCCACACATCATTTTCATGGGTAATCTTATCATGAGATGATAGATATCTTCCTTATCATTATCGAGAAAGTTAAAACAGAAGAGAATGAGTAAACTTTATTTAGTTACTGGTCTGCTAGGAATGGACAGTTCCTGCCGTGCTCTATGACACAAACTGTAGATATAGTGACAATGTTATGGTACAAAGGAAAGACAGCTGGGGTATTACCCTCTTGTCGTCTAATCTGTGTTTATCTCTATTTATTATTTCTTATTAATTTTATTTTCTGAAGTATGTATGTATAATCTAATACTTACAAAAATTCAAGGCCAGCAACACATGAAATTTATGATTATGATTTAAAGCAGTTGAAAATTATATCTTTGGCAATGCATTAGTTCTTGTTCCGTAATTTACCTTTTAATGTGTATTTTTTATTTTGTCTTTGTTTACTTATACAAACAAATTATAAAGATAACAAGAAAAATTATAGAATTAGCCTAGAATGTAAACATGAATGTGTCAAGTAAAAAAAAGATTTAATTGAGAAGCATACATTTACTTTTGAAAAGATTTGCAAATTCAATTTATTGGTAACAGTAACAAGAATATTGATTTTGATCTTTTAACATAATACAACGCAATCATGTATATTCTTTTATGAGTGTAATAGACACAGGCAAGAGTTTCCCTTTTTTTTACATCTCCAAAGTCCAACAGTTTTTTTGTATTAGTTAAAGTACTTTACTATTTTTACAAACAACATGAACAAGTTTTGATTTTGAAATTTCTTTTTCACACCAATTCCTTGCTCAGGAATGCGCGCCTGGCCGACTTTTGAAACCTGAGTTTAAGTACTGTGATTTTTTTGTCATCATTGCGATTCTCTTGACGTTAATATTTTGTTGAGCAAAATACGTGTAAAGATACGGATTTCTCCTTGATCGTCCTGCCATTTTTTAGTAGCTGATTTCTCTTCTCACGATTGTTTCGTTTTTCTCACTTCATTTTCCTTGGTTTATATCCTTCCCCAATTCCTCTGATGTTATATGTACAAAGAAATGGGGTGTCCCATCTGTTTGGTTGAATGTTGAAAAAGAAAAAAAAGATGTATTTGCTGTTCACTCTTGATGTGAAACAGTTGCCATTACATAATTCTGTTATTATTTTTTCTAATTATATAAAAATGGGTATTGTAGTACAATATAAGGTTGAAAGTTGCATTACTTGTCACAATGGTGGAGTAGTACCTTAGGCTTGATTTTTTAATCTAAACTTCTTTCCAAACACAATATGCAGGGTTGAAATCGAAATACCCTTCCTTCCAAGTGAATTTGCCGAAGAGGCAGTCCTTTTGATACCTATGCAGTAGCCTCCTAGCATAACACCTCACACACACACCACATCACCACAACACACACTGCACCACCTCACCACACACACACTCACAACACTCACACACTCACACACTCTCTCACACACTCACACACTCTCACACACAAACACTCTCTCACAACATACTTCACACACTCTCTCAGACACACATACTCTCACACTCTTCAGACACACTCTCACACTCTCTCACACACTCACACTCTCACACACTCACACTCTCACACTCACTCTCTCTCTCACACACACACTCACTCACTCACTCACTCACTCACTCACTCACTCACTCACTCACTCACTCACTCACTCACTCACTCACTCACTCACACTCACACACACACACACACACACACACACACACACACACACACACACACACACACACACACACACACACACACACACACACACACACACACACACAGATGTAGTGAGCATCATTTTCTTCTTTTTCCCCACATGCATTTGTGTTTGTTTATAAAACAAATATTTATAATTCATTTATTACTCTCATCCTTCCTGCACTACTTTCTTTTACCTTCTGACTTTTTCCTTTTCTCTCCTCTCGTCTAATCTTTTTCTCTTCTGTCTTGTCTCACCTCTTGATTCTTGTCTCTCCCCTTTCTTTCTCGTCTCTCTCCTCTATTCTCTCCTGTCTCCTTTTAAAATTTTCATTATTTATTTGATTGATTTTGCCATGTTTCTCACGCTCGCTCACTCTCACATGCTCACACGTTTGAGCTTACCAGTACACTATTAAAGACTTAAGAAACAGACACCTTACCTCCCCACTGCCCTTGAAGTCAAGCGTTTTTAGGAACGAAAAGTGTTTCATTGAAGTCTAGGAAGAAAAAGTCAGCCGTTTTGTTTTTACTTGCAGTGTTGTGGCTTTCATTGTTGCATTTTCTTTGTCTTTTTTTTAACATTCCTTCATTCACCTTTTCACATTTCAGTCCTTCCTTCCCTCATCCTTTTTTTTTCTCCCTCTTTTCGCAATTTTTGTTTTGATGGGTAAGTACAGTGCACCATGTCAGTCCACACATTCTACATTACATTTTTTCTTATAAAGGGATTAGATCCATATGTGCATTTTATATACGGTATATATTTTTTAGCCACTCTCATTCATACATAGCTTCAAGTTTGTGAATAGGTAATTTGAACCTTGTAATATATATATTTAGGGTGGTATGTAGGGGAAGAGCCAATAAAGTGGTGTTATACAAACCAAAAAAACTCAAAGAAAAAAAAAAAAGACACAAAAATGACAAAAAAAAAAAAAAAAAAAAAAAAAAAAACGGTGCCAAACAGACCAATTATTTATCTATCTGTATTGATTTCTTTACCTCCTAGTGTGCCATGTTTTCTCATTTTTTGTACAATGTTGTTAAAATTATTGTCAGCACAAATAGTTTAGGCTCATATCAAGAGAACTTTGTTGTTGGTAATTAAGAGAGTATGTTAACAGTGTTTAATTTAAAGGTTAAGTCAGTGTCCTATAGTGGTTTGCCTGAACAAGATTTTTTGCGCACAATCAGGTTTCCTTTTCAATGTAAATGCGAACGTCATCCTGAGTGAGAGTAATGGGAGGACTCTAACGATAAAAGAAGTGAATGATTGCGAAGAAGATAAATGGAATTTTCAAACACAGGTGCAATTCTTATACATCCTTGAGTGTGAAAAAACAAACCGTACTTATTTTGTATAGTGTGTCATAATGCTGTTTTTCTTCCTTCATTTTTTGATGTTTGTAGAGATGCAAGCAAGATGAAAATTTCAATCAATGGAAGTTTCTCAGGAGGTGAATAAGAAGTTGATCCTAGTTGTTAGTAAGGTTCATTGCTTTATTCATGTTATAAGAGTAAATGAGCTTTATTGAAGTGCCATCTCGGGCTCGCCCCTTGGATGGTTTCACTTTATAATTTTCGGTTAATAGATCTGGTCATAATTATTTTCTTTTCTTACATTATCTTGCGGAAAGTTTGGGGAAGGTTGACGATTTCTAGGTACTTGAAACTGATCATTAGAGGAAAGTGTAATCAAATCGGGAAAAAAGAGAGAGAGAGAAAAGAAATAACAAAAAATCCAAGTATGATCATAAGGTTGGTACTTTTCGTCAAGCCAAAAGCGTCTAATATCAGTGCGTCCTTTAGAAACGTGGAACTTTGAGGCCAAACTTCTGCCTAGGAGGAAGAGTGGAGGTTTTAGTTACCAGAGGTGTTGCACTTTTGGGAAACAGATTACATATGCCATCCACATTTTCTCTTTTGCTCAAGACAGTTTATGCGTAATATTGTATGTGAAGTTGAATGTAAATTAGAGGATTTTTCGGGCAACATTTGGAGTGAGATATCCATTTACATTCAATTTGTCATGTCTGAAAGGTTTATTTTTAGTGAAATATGGATAATTAGGAAATGTGAAGACTGTCTTGGCACTTTTTAAATGTACTTAAAATGGATTTTAGCCACAATTGTGTTCCAAAAGGGAAAATAAGCCATAGGCTGAGCTCATTAGTATGTAAAGTAACATGTGGTGTTCTCTTTGTATATTTTATGTAATTTATTGTCAAATGTAAATATAAAATGAATATGGATTATAGTCCTTTTATTCATACCCTATTTAAGTTCAGTACATCGAGAGAGTTGGCATAGCTCAGTGCTAGAGTGGCTGGCTTTGCAGTCGCAGGGTCCTGGGTTCAGTTTTAACCTGGTTGTCCCTCTCAGTCGACCTGTTCTCCTGCTTCAGACGCATACATATCCTTCACTTGATCCAATTCCCTTGCCTAAACCCACCATAACCCATTCCCTCATCAACTCCCTTACCCATCTTTAACCTTTCAATATTACTCTAGATAACTGACGTATAGCAACTATCACCCTTCACCACCCTTTACTGTACCTTTCTATTATGCTATATGACCTTAGATGTCTAGCACATTTATTTTGCTTTTAACCATTAACCATTAACCCTCTCAGTCGACCCCCACTCCCATGTGGGGAAGGAGGTAGGAGACGGGAGCTGAGGTGTTAAGCCTCCACTCCGGTGTTGAAAGGATAAAATACTGGCTCTTTATCAGTCCTGAATTGGCCTCGTGGAACCATGGACACGGTATTCCCACCCACACGTGTCATTTACTCGACCCTCCCAACATCCTTCACTTGATCTCTTCCTCCACTGTCTTCTTCATCCGCCCCCCCCCCCCGCACTCTTAAAGAGAAGAAAAAAAAAGCCCTACCATCATCCACCCTCTAATCTCTGCTCACATTCCCTCTAGAGTATAAGAGTGACTGCCGACATTCATCCTGTTTCTCGTGTTCTCTACAGCCCTTCTTTCTACTCCCTCCCAACACACCCTGTCCCCTCCCCTGTTTCATCTCCCCCTACCCTTTCCTTCCCCGTTATCCCTTTCGCTCCCTTTCGGATGCACGACTCCCTTTTGTCTCAGCAGTGTCCTCTAGATCCTTCCCCTCCTGACATTCCTTTCGATACTCCTGCCCCTGATCCCGTGTCTCATTCCCAGAGTCGTTCTACTTCTCGGACACCCATTTTTCCCCCTCATCACACCTACACTGGAATATTCGCGGTTTTCCTTCTTACAGACCTCTAACAATTATCTAATCGCCCTTACCCCATCTCCCGCTTTCCCTCTCTGCTGGCCCCTGCCTTTCCTCATTTACTCACCTTTTCAATACCTTACTATCCTAAAGCGGTGTTCAACTCTTGTAGCGTAGCACATTTAATCATTAACTCTACTTCAGCCCCTTTCTCTCTCTTCATTTCGCTACTGTACCTTCCTTCAGTGCTACATGGCCTTTGAAGTCTAGCACATTGATTTGCTTTTAAACCATTAACCCAACCACAAATATAGATGGATATAGATTCAATATTAGGTGTTGAAAAGAGTATACATATAAATGTTTAAACAAACACACACACGCACACATATATAATATGTGCGTGTTATTCCTCGTCCAAAGATTTCTCTCAGGAGCATGTACTGCGCATGAAAGGCAGATTCTTCCCCATTTTTCCAACGCAGACTACCTTCACCTCCCCTCCTTCTCTCCCCAAAAAGAAAACGAGAACTGGAGATGGAAAGTGCGACAGCTGGCTCTCGATCTGCATGGCCGTTGTTTTAGAAACTGCTCGTTCAAAAGGCCAGATCTTGCTTTTGTGAACGAGGGATTTAGAAATTAAGGGGAATTTTTTTTTCAATCGTTTTCCTACGTACGGTTTTGTCAGCAATATAATATATATATATATACATATATATAATATATATTATATAATATATATTATGTATTAGTTTTATATATGTATATAAAATACATATAACATATATGCATAATAACATATATACATAATGTTAAATGTAATTAATATGTATTAATTTAATGTATACGTGTATAATGTATAACGTATAATAATGTATATATGTATAATGGTATATATGTATTAATGTTATATTGTAATAATGGTTACGTGTATAATTGTATATATGTACAATGCATATCATGTACATCATATACCATATCCTTATATACACATATATACACATACATATACATATATTACATATATAATATATATATTATATATATTCTATAATATATATACATATATATATAGTAATATAATACATATATATCA